CACACAGGTGGGAGGGCCGCCACCGCGCGGGACTGTTTCCAGGGGACAGTGGCCTCGGGGTCGCAAGGCTGGGAGTCAGGGCGAGGGGCCACCCCTGCAGACCACAGCCGCAGGCCGCTCCTCACGCGCCCACCAGTGGAGCAGGGTTGCTCGGAGCCATGTCTGCTCTGCACAGCATCCACTTCGGACATAGCAACACAGGAGAGTGCAGAACCTGGGCACATTCGCCAAAGAGTAGCGTCTTGAAAAAATCTTCATGAAAAATGGAATTTTCCAGGCAAGGGAGGGCAGTCAGCAGAGAGGCCACCTGCTGGCCCCACGAGCGTGTCCTCGGAGGGGTCGGTGGGCCATCGGGCAGCACCCTCGGCGGCCAGGCGAGTGAAAGGAGAGAACAGCGCTGAGGGCGGGGGTGGGGTTCCCGGCCCAGATACGTGGCCCGACTGCTGTTTGCACCAGGCACTCGGGGCCACTGACCTCTCAGCCTCAGGCCCCCACTAATAAACAGGGAACAGGACTCCCCCAGCCTATCAAGATCTCTGATTTGCTGAAGACCTCAAAAGATACATTGTCTTCATGGAAATCATCACTAACAACACATGATTCTTACACATCATGTAAACAGAAGTGGGGGAACGGACAGGATCAGGGAGGCAGTTCTCAGTGCCCACACGGTCCCGGAATCTGCTGCCTGCACCCCGACTGGAGAGACAGTGCCCACACGGTCCCGGAATTTGCCTGCACCCCGACTGGAGAGACAGTGCCCACAGAGTCCCAGAATCCACCTGCACCCTGACTGGAGAGACAGTGCCCACACAGTCCCGGAATCCGCCTGCACCCCGACTGGAGAGACAGTGCCCACAGAGTCCCGGAATCCACCTGCACCCCGGCTGGAGAGACAGTGCCCACAGAGTCCCGGAATCCACCTGCACCCCGGCTGGAGAGACAGTGCCCACAGAGTCCCGGAATCCACCTGCACCCCGGCTGGAGAGACAGTGCCCACAGAGTCCCGGAATCCACCTGCACCCCGGCTGGAGAGACAGTGCCCACAGAGTCCCGGAATCCACCTGCACCCCAGCTGGAGAGACAGTGCCCACAGAGTCCCGGAATCCACCTGCACCCCGGCTGGAGAGACAGTGCCCACACGGTCCTGGAATCCACCTGCACCCCGACTGGAGAGACAGTGCTCACACGGTCCCGGAATCCACCTGCACCCCGGCTGGAGAGACAGCGCTCACACGGTCCCGGAATCCACCTGCACCCCGGCTGGAGAGACAGTGCCCACAGAGTCCCGGAATCCACCTGCACCCTGACTGGAGAGACAGTGCCCACACGGTCCTGGAATCCACCTGCACCCCGGCTGGAGAGACAGTGCCCACACGGTCCTGGAATCCACCTGCACCCCGACTGGAGAGACAGTGCCCACACAGTCCCGGAATCCACCTGCACCCTGACTGGAGAGACAGTGCCCACACGGTCCTGGAATCCACCTGCACCCTGACTGGAGAGACAGTGCCCACACAGTCCCGGAATCCACCTGCACCCTGACTGGAGAGACAGTGCCCACACGGTCCTGGAATCCACCTGCACCCCGACTGGAGAGACAGTGCCCACACAGTCCCGGAATCCGCCTGCACCCTGACTGGAGAGACAGTGCCCACACGGTCCCGGAATCCACCTGCACCCTGACTGGAGAGACAGTGCCCACACGGTCCCGGAATCCGCCTGCACCCCGACTGGAGAGACAGTGCTCACACGGTCCCGGAATCCGCCTGCACCCCGACTGGAGAGACAGTGCCCACACGGTCCCGGAATCCGCCTGCACCCCGACTGGGAAGACAGTGCCCACACGGTCCCGGAATCCGCCTGCACCCCGACTGGAGAGACAGTGCCCACACGGTCCCGGAATCCGCCGGCACCCCGACTGGGAAGACAGTGCCCACACGGTCCCGGAATCCACCTGCACCCCGACTGGAGAGACAGTGCCCACACGGTCCCGGAATCGGCCTGCACCCCGACTGGGAAGACAGTGGCCCAAAGCAAATCTGCCAGTGACTTGACGGTGGCCTAGGCAGCCCTTCGAGGCCTGGGCTACTTTCAGATGCCAAGGGCACTCAGGGCCGCCACCCCCAAGGTCACCGCAGCTTAGCTGCACGTTCTGGGCGGCACAGCGCTGGCACACTGCTGCCTGACCAGAGCGCGGCGTGCTGACGGCAGGGCTCGGGCGGCCAGCCGCGCTGCGGCAGGAGCAGGCAGACAAGGGCCGGCCGCTGAGCAGCGCTGTCCCTGGGCCCTTACTAGTGCTCGGCATGTCCTGCGCCTTCACTCCTCGGCCTCGGCACACCCGGTGTCACAACTGTCCTCCAAGACGAGTGAGCCATACTGAGAGCTTACAGAACATATCCAAGCTAGCGAGCAGCAGCCACGGGACAGAAACCTAGGCAGGGTGACCCCGCCACCCCAGCCCGCACCCTTGCCCAGCACCTGGTGGAATGGGGGGGGCAGGAGCACCTCAGTAAACACTGCTGACGGCGGAGGGCTTACCAAGTGCCATACTAAGCACACCTGCCACCTCGGCTAGCCCCATGACCAGGGGAGCGGGCCCTGTCCTCAGCTCCGCAGACGGGGGCGGAGGGGCGGAGGCGCTGAGGGAGGGTGATGTGCTGCACTGGGGGCAGGTTTCATGATCACCTTGCATCTGGCCGTCCCCATCACTCCTGTACACAATTTTAAAACCACAGTCTCTCTGTGCTTTACGTATTAAAAAGTAACGTTTTTTTTGCCCACCAAGAATCCATTTTTGCTCCATTGAGAATGTACGGCCTATAGCTTAATGGGTCTTTTTTTTTTTTTAATCCTCATCCGAGGACATTTTTCCACTTTTTTTGTACAGATAGAGTGGGAGGGAGAGAGAGGAAGAGAGAGAGAGGGAAACATCGATGTGAAAGGAACACATCGAGTGGCTGCCACCCGCACGACCGACCAGGGCCGGGGACAAACTGCAACCGAGGTACGCGCCCTTAGCGGGAACCGAACCCGGGTCTCTCTGGACCGCAGGTGGGCGCTCTAACCGCTGAGCCAAACCGGCCAGGACAGCTTAATGGGTCTTATATGAAGAGTCTGTTGTGACTCCGGAACGTGGTTCATTTATTAATTCTCCTTCATTCCTTCAATCCTCAACATTTATTAAGTAAAAGGAGCCTGACAAAGCAAGTACTGTGTGATCCCATCTGTATGAGGTCCGAGAGAGCAAGAGGAACGTGTGGGGCAGGAACGTGAACAGTGGCTTCCGGGAGAAACGGGCTGAAGGGCATGAAGAACTTTCTGACGTGATGAACATTTTTGTCTCGATCTGGGACTGGTTACAGGTTTGCATCCTTTTGCCAAAATTTATCAAACTGTACACTTAAGAAATCTGCATGTACAGAATATAAATTATATCCCAACAGTTTTTAAGAAAGTTGTGATGAAAGTATTTCCTACATGTGCCACCTCAGGTACTAGAGTGGTCCTGACTTGCTCTGGATGCCAGAGCTGACCGAACGCGCTGTCACCAGGCAGGGTCAGGGAAACTGCCGCCCTTCCTGATGGGACCAGGCGGCCGGCTGCCCACGCCCCACGCGGGGCTCTGATGACTCGGTGGTGTGACAGAGAGGAGAGTCTATTAAGTCCCTCAGAAAATCAATGGGCTTTAAAATCCAGTGCTCTGGGCTTATGCGGCTTCGGCACAGGAGGTGCGCGGATGCCCCTCTGGACGCTGAGCCGCTGAGCCCGCTGAGCCCTCTGGACAGTGCTCGCAGGGCAGCACCGCTGTTCTGCTACGCAAGTGCTTACGTCATTTCCCAGCTGGATCAGAAACAGCTTCTGGCTGGGTCTGTCTTTACTCCCGCTGACTTCCCTCCCTGGGCCACGGGACGACAAACCCCGGAGCTCCTGCCAGGTGGGGAGAAGAGCGAGCCCCCGTCACTGCATGGCAGAGGCTGCCTACGAGCTGCACTCTGGATGCCGGCCTGTCAGACTTCCTACGACATGCAAAGGTCTAGGGCACCACAGGAAAGCGATTTAAATCTAACCTAGTGGACAATTCAGGACTTGGTCAATGCAGCTTGAAGTGGACTTAAAAGCCTTCTTCTCTCTATAATCGTGCATTAAACTAGAAAAGGGGAGAAACTTGATAGAATTTGCTTTTTAAGAAAATAGAAATGTGATCAATAAACCAGTTTTTTAAAGAAATGTTCATCCTAATAGTTGGAGACAGAAAGAACTAATAGAACTAAACTTACATGGGTTGAGAATCTACTAGGTTCCGGGTGCTCTGCTATTCAGTCCTCCTAACAACCATGAAGCAGTGCTATCAGCACACTGATTTCACAGAAACTAAAAGGATAGTGGAGTCCAGCCAGTGTGGCTCAGTGGCTGAGCGTCGACCCATGCACCAGGAAGTCGCTGGTTCGATTCCTGGTCAGGGCACATGTCCAGGTTGTGGGCCCGATCCCCAGTGGAGGGCATGCAGGACGCGGCCAGTCGATGTTCTCTCTCAATGATGTTTCTCTCTCCTTCTCCCTTCCTCTCTTTAAAATCAATAAAGGAAAAAATAAATAAATAACAGGACAAGGAAATCTGAACACAAAGCAGGAAGTGGTCGTACTTCCTGCTCAGCACGCCCAGCTGCTGCCCTGTGGCGTGCAGGCGGCACGTGCCAGTCCCTGGAGGGAATCCGAGCTCACACAGCGAGTGTTTGCATGGGCACACAGACCACGGACCTCTGCTGCTCCCGAGGGTCTGCGAGAGGCTCAGGCAGCAGGCGTGGTTGGCAATTCACGAGAAAAGAGCCATGTGGGGGCACGCTCAGCCCTCTGGGGCCGGCAAGGGCAGCTGCTCCCAGTGGACTGCAGAGCCGGTACCGGGGCAGAGCCTGGGTGGGCTTCCAGCACAGTGCTGTTTCGGGGCTGGCCAGGTCCAGCACGTGCCATGGCGTCGGGCGAGCTCCTTCTGCATCTTACCTGCACTGTCTGCACCGTGTAGATCTTCCTCAGACTGGATGCGCACTCGGCCGCGGTGGCTCCAGGCAGCGATCTGAGCGAACAAGCACAAGGGCAGAGGCAGGGGGACAAGTAGTCACTGTTCACGAGGGATTCCACAGCCAAGCGCAGCTGTTCACGTGAACCAGGGCTGAATCTCAGAACTGGACATTTCTGGGACCTAGCTCATTTTAAAATGTAAAATTCCTACTTTTCTGAAGTCATGGGTTTGCTTTTCCTAAAAACAAACTGATTTATTCTGTGGAAATTTAGTAGAAAAAAACAGAAATGTATGTAAGAAAGGTATGAAACCTTAAAATCACATTTTAAAAAAGACTAAAAATAACCTTGCAATGACCAAGTCTTTGCCGAGGACTCTGGATGAGAAGCTGAGCCCATGGCACAGGTGACACTGAACATCCAGGGTCTTGACCGCAGTCGATATTCATGAACTCTCGAGAAACAGTGGCTTTGCCCACTTTAAGAAAACATGACTGAAAGTCCATTTCAGTCTCACATGAATCTGCGTGCGTTTCTGGAACACTACCCTTTAGAGAATACTTTCAGTCATTTTCCCTGGCTGGTTTAACAGGCTCCCTGAACTCTGTGGTCACATCCATTTATCTTCAGTTTGCCACGTTCCACTAGATGGCAACATACTGCAGGCTTATTCCCGAGGAAAACCTGCACCGGACCAGCTTTACTCAGCAGTTTCCTGGGACGGGGTACGTGACAGGGTCTCATCAATCTTCAGCAGACTCAGTTACTAAAACCGCTGCGTTCTCACTACATGGAATTTGCAGTTCTTGCTCAAAAATGCTGGTATGCAGCCACACCAGACCTCAGGGGAAAGTCCACCACCGGAAACATGCTGGGAGCACTTTGTCTGTCAGGGAGACAGACGCAGCCTGCAGAGGAGGGCGGACCCACCGCGTCTGGAGTCTGTAAAGGGGAAGCAGTTTACCAGTCACTGGCCTCAGAGACAGTCCCCTGGGAACCTCAAGATGCTGAACTCCCTGGACAGGCATAAAACTCACATAGCTCGGGCAGAGGGATGGCAGAGCAGGGCATGCCCAGTGTCTGTCATTGTGTGTGGGGGACATGAGGCATGAGGGGCAGGACTCTAGAGATGACATTCCTGGAACTATGGGCCAATGAATGTTCCCTGGGTGTTGAGCCTGAATATCAAAAACACATCTCTAAAACCAGCTCCCTACCCAGGAGGTCACTAGGTAAGCACAGTTAAAGACTAATTTGAAGGCAAACAAGGGACCCCTGTTGAGCAGGTGAAGTCTGATAAATGAATCTACCTAAAGCACTGGATTTACAATGCATTTGGTTGTGTATAAATCAGCTGGACATTGGTTTTTAAGAAGCACACCTACAACAGTCACCACGGTCACCTGGCCTGCCTGACATTCCAGCAGAGCGTCCCGCCCCCTCGGCTTTGGGTGCTGAGCACTGACCTGGATAACTATTGGTTTACTGTTTAATGCAGGCCTTGACGTGGTCCTTGGATAAAATTATTAAAACATTGGAGAAAAAAACTTTTTAAAAACCCCTGAACTTGGGGGAGGCCAGACGGTGCAGCCTCAGGAAGCTCCGCCCACTTGCTCCAAGCACAGGACTGGATTTGAGACCAAACTGCAGAACATTCAACTTGAAAACCACCTGAACACGGCAAGTGGGAGCGTGGAGAGGGGTCAGGGGACACGAGAGCAGCTGGGGAGCCAGGGAAGGTGGGCAGCCCAGCTCCTGCCCCCTGGGAGCGGGGACTCAGCCCCACCCACAGATCCCCAAAGGACAGCAGCAGAGAAGGGAAGGGGAGGCCCTCACATCAGACGGTGGGAGTCGGAGGTGATGGGCCCACTGTGGGGACGCCAAGCACTATCCCGGGCTAAAAGCAAGTGCTGGGTCACAACACCAGCCTGGGAAGCTCGCCCTGATTGCGGCGGTGGGAGGGGACACTAAGCAGCACTCTGGACCTGAGGAGGGTCTGAGCGGATCACAGAGCAGTGAATCTGAGGGGCTGGGTATTGGCTGAAAGAACTTTGATGGGGGCCGGTCAGAGTGCCCAGGGAAAGAGGCATAACCCTCCCTACCTTGAGGGGAGGGGAAGTGTCCCTTCCCCCACCAGTGGAACACTGGCGGGAAATCAGCACCCCAGAGACTGGGCCTGGTGGTGCTGGGGATTCTGATATCTGGCTGGGTGGGAGCCTGGGCAGAAGCCACGCCCAGCAAGAGCGGGCCTGGCCTGCTGCCAGATTAGAGAGCCAAGCAGGGCATTTTTGTTTGTTTCTCCTTTTTTTTCTATCTTCCCCTGCTTGGGGTGACCAGGGGGTACCAGCAACCCAGGCAGAGCTGAAGCACTGGAAGGAGAGGACGAGACTGCCTGCCCCTCCTACAAGCTGTAGGCACCACCCCCAATGCAAATCTGTTTAAACCCTTCTGAGGGAACCTAACGCCCTGCAGAGCCCAGTGCCTCGAGGGAAGGGAAGCAGCCCAGAACAAGTACATTCAAGGGGCCAGCCCCAAGGCAGACCCTGGCTCTGGGCTCGAAAAGCCCCACCCACTGGACTACTTGGGGTCCGACCCTGCAGGGCTGCAGCCAGGTGGCCCCGGGCCAGGCGGGGCAGGGATTCACAGTGGCCTGCATCAGAGAACTGCCAGGAGGGTAGGGACACACACAACAAGGGGCCAGACCCACCAACATCCAAGCAAAATCCAGTGAGCTCCATAAACAGCAGATCCAAGGTTGTGGTTTTTTTAATCCTCACCCAAGAATATTTTTCCACTGATTCTTTTAGATAGAGTGGGAGGGAGATAGGGAGGGAGGGAGACAGACAGAGAGAAACATTGATGTGAGAGACACATCGATCTGATGCCTCCTGCATGACTCTGATCAAGGCCAGGGATCAAACCAGCAACCAAGGTATACGCCCTTGACCAGGAATCAAACGTTTGGTCCACAGGCCAACGCTCTAACCGCTGAACCAAATCAGCCAAGGCATATCCAAGGTTCTTTTTGTTGTGGTAGTTGTTTTCTTCTGTGTGTTTTTAATTTAAATTTTTAAAAATCCTTACCCCTGGACATGCTTTTACTTATTTTATTTACTTATTTTTAACTTACTTTTATTGCTGAATGTATTACAGATACCCCCCCTTTCCCTGATTGATCCCCTCCTTCCCAATCCCCCCCATCTTGCCTTCCCCACACTATTGTTTGCGTCCATTGATTATGCATATATATATAAAATTTTTTTGGTTTATCTCATCCTGCCCTCCCACCCCCTTCCCTGTGAGGTTCATCAGTCTAACAATCAATTTGTATTTAATTCCTTCACCTTTTTCACCCATCCCCCAGACCCCTCCCACCTGGCAACCAACCAAAAGTTCTCTGTATCTAGGAGTCTCTTTCTGTTCTGCTTGCTCATTTTGTTTGTAGATTCGATTGTTGATAGATATGTATTAATTACCATTTTATTGTTCATATTTTTGTTCTTCTTCTCCTTCAAGAAGACCCTTCAACATTTCATATAATACTGGTTTGGTGGTGATGAACTCCTTTAGTTTTTTCTTGCATGGGAAATGCTTTATATGTCTATCGAATCTAAATGATAGCTTTGCAGGATAGAGTAACCTTGGTTATCAGTAATTGCTTTTCATCACTCTGAATATTTCTTGCCACTCTTTTTTGGCCTGCAAAGTTTCTTTTGAGAAATCAGCTGACAGTCTTATGGGAGCTCCTTTGTAGGTAACTTAACTGCTTTGCTCTTGTTGCTTTTAAGATTCTCTCTTTGTCTTTAACATTTTGCATTTTGATGATGATGTGTCTTGGTGTGGGCCTCTTTGGGTTCATCTTTGGGACTCTCTGTGCTTCCTGGACTTGTATATCTGTTTCCTTCAGCAAGTTAGGGAAGTCCTTTGTCATTATTTTTTCAAATAGGTTTTCAATTTCTTGCTCTCTCTCTTCTCCTTCTGGCACTCCCGTGATGCAAATGTTGGCACGCTTGAAGTTGTCCAAGAGGCTCCTTACACTGTCCTCATTTTTTTGGATTCTTTTTTCTTTTTGTTGTTCTGATTGAGTGCTTTTTTCTTCCTTCTATTCAAATCGATGGTTTGCTTCTTGGCTTTACCTACTCTACTATTGTTTCTCTGTAAATTTTTCTTTATTTCAGTCAGTGTATACTTCATTTCTGAAACGTCCTTTTTTATGTTGTTGATGTTGTAAGTTCCTTGGAGTTCTCACTAAGGTCCTTGAGCATCCTTATAAGCCAGTGTTTTAAACTCTACATCTGATTGATTGCTTATCTCCATTTTGTTTAGTTCTTTTCCTGGAGTTTTTTTTTTTTTTCATTTGGGACATGTTTTATTGTCTCCTAATCTTGGCTGCTTTCCTGTGTTTGTTTTTATATATTGGATAGAGCTTCTATATCTCCTGGGCTTTGTAGGGTGGCCTGTTGTTGTAAGTGTCTTATAGGATCCAGTGGCATAGCCTCCTTGATCACCCCAGCTGGGCCCTTGAGGTGCACCCCTCCTGTGGACTGTACACCTTTCTATTGTAATTGAGTCTTGATTGCTGTTGGCACATCAATAGGAAGGATTTACTCAGGCTGATCAGCTGCAAGGACTGGCTGTGCCCACTGACCACCGACCTCTGACTACCATGGAGGATCAGCTGTGCAGGGCCCACCACACAGAGCAAGACTTACTTCAGCAGGGCTCTGGTACCCACTGAGTCCACTCCTTCAGTGTGTCACTTGTGGAGGTGGTTGAGTGGTGGTGCTTGATGTGGTCTGAAGCTGTCCACTGGGTGTGCTGGCTCTGGGGCAAGGTCAGCCTCTGCCTGTGTTCTACCGGGGGCTACCTGGCATAAGCTACAGAGTGATCTGCAGATGGCTGCTTCTTGTGCTGGGTGTAGAGGTGCCCAGGCAAAGCCAAGTTGTGAACCAAGGCTGGCTGCTTCTTGTGCTGGGCCTGGGGCCACTTAACAAGCGGTATGGGGCTCGCTGAGACCAGATGCTGCTTGTTTGAGAGATTTTAGGAAAATCTGAA